GAGCTTTGCTACAGTGTAGGTCTCACCCAGGATTATAAATCCAGTTTTCAGTCTTGGCAGGACCTTACCTAATGGAGTCTTTCCTTTGGGTTTTCTTCTTTTGGGACGACTGAGTGGAATTTCATCTGCAGAACATAAAACACAAGTCTAGCTACACAACATGGAGAAACCTCCATTTCCCTTTTTTTTTAACGGTCATACGATTTCAAGTTCAGAAAGTTAGTCCTTTTTACAAGTAAAGGCATCCTTTACCTTTTACAGATAAGATGACAATTCACCAATTTACACAAGCAGTTAGGGTACAGAAGATAGTAGGAAAACAAGATACAAAATCTTCTTAAGTGCGACAGAGGTTAAATATGCATACGCATGTGTTAAATGAAAAACTGAAATATTTTGAATAATGCTCTGAAGAATAAAAATCCTGTTTAGAGCACATTGACAACATTCCAGTTACCTTGATTCCATATGGAAATAGAAATCAGTAATGAGAACAAAGAAAAATACTAGATAATTATCACTGTGGTAGTCCAGGTATCCATGCAATTTACATGATTATCAGCCTGAATTTAGGAAAATCATAAGGACCCATCTTTAAAGAGAGGATTAAGTGACACCAAAAGGAACTACTGATGTTTACGATTCTCTTTTTTGCCACAAGAACTCACCCTGGTTTCCTCTTCACATTTAAGAAGAAAGGTGTTGAAGAGCAGTGTAAAAGGAACAAAGGTAGAGAAGAAAGTTAGTTTTGAATCAATTGCAATTCACGAAATTGACATTCTCACTACTTTTTATTATTATTAATTTCCTTATCCTCACCCCAATTTCTTTTTATGAGCAATTGTGTACAACGGGGTTAAGTGCACAAAGCAATCATCAAGACTCAACGCTTTGTGACTGTGCACAGTTTCTCAGTTGGCTAGCTGTAGATCAGATTAGAAACTGTAATCACCTGGATAATTAAAACTCGTCTTACTGCTTGGTATGTAATAAACCAACAAAAGAAGTTACGAAACATTTGAACACACACAGTACTAAAAACACACTGCCTTTATACACTGTCAAAATATCAGATTTGCCTTACGGTACTTTGAAGGAATCTCATTCACCACACCATAAAAAACTATTTAATTGCCTTTCTTTACCCATTGCCCATTAGGATGCTGGAAAAAAATCACAAATTTCTTCCTATACACTATGTAAAAGTGATAGACGCCTATAACCCCATTTGATAATATCTAGTCTAAATTCAAAAATTCCTATTATGAAGGATTTGTAATTTAAATAAACTACAGAACATGAAACAAAGCAAAGATCTAGTTAAGGAAGAAGAAATTGAAAGGAAGGACATCAATAACACTGAAGCAGATGTTAATAAAACTGAATCTGCTATTTGTCAAAATCTCTTTAAAGAGTTTACCTCTCTGAATATTAAAAATGAGATAATAAATTTTCTCAGCCTCAGTGAAACTTTAAAATGCTTTGTATTCCTTGTAAGGGATTCTAGAACAACAAAGTATCAAGAAAAGCAAGTGTTTTTAAAGCCATTATGGCTACACAGATACTTGTTAAAACTAATTTTTCTTCATTTCATTACCTTTAAAAACATAGCAGTACAGAACCATGATCAACTCCACAGAATGACCTGATCTTACCTTGGCACTGGAGGGAGGGCACGCGGGGGACACTGAAAGACAAAAGAGACAAAAGTCAGCTTCTGTCAGTGTGAAACCACCTCTTTTCTGAGCGCCTGTTAAACTACTCCACAGAAAACGGCTCCTTCCAGACACGGTCTCAACATACCGAATGTGTTTTGCTACCTATGCTTCTGAAACCAGATTCTAAGCACCTCATACATAATCAGGTACACACATACATGAACAGTGAGAAACTCCTGGTGGACATGTTTCACAGACGTCATACAGCATGTTCTTAGCACAGTTCTGATGGGCACTGCACAGGGGACATTTGCCTAACAGCTATGTGTGAGGTGCAGCTTGCATTTCACCCTCGCTTCAGTAATTTTCATAGTGCATAGAAGGTACAGCATTCACTGGTACAGCTTGCCAGTCATTTTACTTAAATATAACAAAATATTGCAGTAACTTACATAACTGGTATACTTGCACAGTGTATATCATGAGCACCGTATTTTCTATTAATGAAGTTGTAAATTTAGAACAGAGCAATACTGAATTATAAGAAAAAAATATAAAATAAACTTATTTATAGAAAAGACTTATGAACTTTTGCAAATATTTACCAAGAGGTTAAATGTAACTAAAAACAAGTATATCCTGTTAACAATCCAGAACTCTTATGCTGGATGATTTCTTCACCTAGGAAAAGGAAGGTAATTTCAGATTTTGTATTATATAATTGTATTTAACAGGTACACAGAAGAACTACTTCCCATGTTCCAAAAATTCAGTTGATACCAGAAATAAAAAAGACTGTACAACTGGCAAGACTCAAGGATCCAAAAACTTACCACTTGTTTTTTTCCCATATCATCTGAAACTCTTCCCTGCAAGAGGCACCGTGAACAGTTCTCTACTACTGATGCTGCTCACGCTGAACCTCTGCTAATTCTGAACTAAAAATAAGCTTCTAGCAGCCAGGATTAGCTGGATGTGAACCTTCTTGCCCCCGGGCTAGGGTCCAGTACTACTCCTGTTTGAAATGACTGCAGTTTGCTCTGTGAGTTTTCCATTGCAGCAAGAGGATGTCCTAAAATGTCCTAAATGCTGCCTGTACTGAATGGCAGGATTCCATATGCTGGTGAAGGTTCAAGTGAGCAAGCGCTCCTAGGTTTGCTTACCTTACGGAAATGAAACGCCTTGTGTAAGGAAGCACTTGCAGGATTAAGTCTCCAGTCTCTAATCTGGATTTTGGCCATGCGAAGACTGACAGCAAGTGCTACTCACACAGGTAAGGAGCAGCATACCCTGACCAGCACCCAGCAGTGGCCAGCACTGCTCTCACCATACAGGCACACAATAAGGGAGAAAAAATATTGACAAAATTCGAGCTCAGAGCTCATTGCTTTTATTGATTCCTACATTTTTTGTGGTAGTGATTGTGAATTCCCTAGAATATTTGATATTTTCAAAAAGTAAAGTGTGAGAGCTTTTATGCAGCATTCATTGCCTGTGCAGTAGTGTGTCTCTACTCAGTTACCTTCTGCAAAACAAGTGAAAAGAAAATGAATTTCTGTATCATTTATTTTTGACAACAAAGGAAATCACATGCAAGCAGCTACTGGCTAATAATCGTCTGTTCTACCTGTATGAAAGTCCTCAACTCTGCCACATACATAAGAGCTTTATTTCCTTGAAGTTTCCAGTTTCTCAGAATTTGAAGGAACTCACTGCAAACTCCACAGAAAAGGTGAGTTTGGGTGCAGGTTTCCAGGGATGTTTTGTTACTGACAGGAGCTGCTGACCAGCCTGCCACAAAGCGCACGCTCACTGCCTCACTGGGTAGCTGGAGCCACAGGCAGTTGGCAACAAGCCTGGGAACTCTCACTCAGGAAAAAAAAAAAAATCCACGCAGCTCCCCAGGTGGTCTGTTCAGAAATGCAGAGCAAAAAACACCTTTACTTTCAAGCTCAGCTCACAGAAAACGGCACCAAGCAGCTGCATTTCCTCTGTGAGGGCGGCGAGGGGAGCTGCTCTCCACAGGGCTGCCAAAGGGGCAATCATTCCAACTCGCAGTTTTAAGAACCCTTAACCGCTCTTTACGCGTTTCAAGCTTTCCGCGCACCTTCCTTTGCCAACGTGCACGAAGGAGAACACGAAAACAACCAGGAAGCCTTTGCTCACGCCCTCAGCCGAGGCGGGCAGCAGCAGGGGGGCCAGCGGCAGAGCGGGGACACGGCGCCGCACCTCCCGCCTCAGCGCCCCGGCCCTTCCCCATCCGCCCCAGAGCGCACACCAGACTCCGCAGCACCGCAGCCCCAGGCGGAGGAGGAGGGCGAGGGCCCCGGCCCCCGGTCCCCAGCCGCCCTCCTGGTTGTTACAGCCGCCCCGCGCCCGCCCCGGCCCCACGGCGCCCTCACCCGGTTGGGGCTCTGCCCCGTCCCCGCCTTCGCCATGGCCGCGCCCGCCGCCGCCGCCGGTCTCCCGGGCGCCGCGGGGAGGAGCCGGGGCTCGCTTCCGCCACGCCTCGGCCCGGCCGTGCCGCCACCGGGCGGGGAAAGCGAAATGAAGGGAAAAAAACGAAAAAACAGCCCAGGGAATAAACGCCACAGAGGCACCGTTAGGGGCGGCTGCCTCTCCGTTTCTGAGCGGCACAGCCGGCACCGGGCCTTCCCTCTCTGCCTGTACTCACCCCACAGCCTGGGGACGGGGGGGCTCTGCTCTGCTCTTTCCACGTTTGCTAGGTCTGACTTTACAACATGCAGACATGCCGCTAGCTGCAAGAGGTGGTTTGGAGGAGGCTTGCTATATGAATACTGTCTCTAGCCTGTGAAACTTGCTCGTGTAGATTTTCTCCAACCTGAGCTGAGCCCCCTTCAGAGGGCAATATACCTGTAATGCGAGATGAAGAGAGTAAGAAACATGTTTGTCATAAGCACTGCACCATTTGGTGAAGAGATGGTGCTGCTTTAGATTAAAGCAAGAAGTGAAAAGGGGCTTCAGAGTCTGCGTCCTTCTTTAACAAATCTATAGTGTAGCAGTTTTTAACTCACTTGAGGTGATGGGATAGAAGAAAAATGCTACACTGTACTATGAGGATAACTGGTGTTTCTACTGCCACTTTTCTTGTGGCTGAGACCATGATGCTCCTGTCTTAAGAAGTAAACATGACAAGTACCAAACATACCTTTATAAATAATACTCTTTGCTCAAATAGATCCTGCTAAGAAAAAATATATTCTGGACCAAGATTTCCAGCATGTACAAGTATCACAGGACCAGGGTGACCCTAATAAAAAAAAAGCAGGGAAAGGATTTTTTGATTTCTGTATAGTTTTTGAAATGAGTAAATTATGTGAATACATGCAACAAAATATATTTTCCTTTATTCTTGTAATTGAAAGCTCACAGTATTTCCTTTTTCGTACAAAAATGGACTCAACTATAACACAGTATGATTATATCTCCTGCAGCAGCTTCTTTCCTAATCCTCTTCCAAATCCCTTGCATACAAAGATAAATTCTGACAATCCTGACATTAGGATTATTCGTGAAGTAAAACATAAGCTGTAATCTTTATGAAGCTGCCTGCCACTGAGAATTATGGCTGAGTATCTGAGCATATCCACATTGCAGGGACCCACTGGGGCTCATCTTGTGCACGATGGACTGCAGATAGCAGCTGCGCAGATGCTTCTTGTAAATTGTCATTCACAATCACTTGATCAAAAAACTGACCAAACTGATCTTCCATTTTCTTAGCAGAATCCTCCATCTCCTGTAAATCTTCTTCCTGTGACATACAATAAATGCATAAAGTTCTAGTATCATTTAAACATATTGGCATGACATCTGCAGAACTTGGGCCACATAAACAAGAGGCTCTGAGCCTCTGAAACACAGTCAATTGCCATATCTTTCCCAATGAATTCTCATGTTCCAGCATGTTCCATTTGCTCCCCAAAGCACCATGTTCTAACATTTTATTTCCCCAACTTTCATGTTTCTTCATCATTGCAATTATGATTTATTTCCATATACAGTTATACACGTTCTCCAGTATTTTAAGATCCTAAACTGGATTATTTTCATGGAAACAGTGGTAATAAATGCACTAGACACATTGTAAATACAAGCTATATATTTCCTACAAGCAGGATTTGTGTTTTATCTAAAGAACTCACTGTGGAATTGATATAAATACTGTAATACACTACACAGCATTACTATATATAACACACCAATACATTAAATATTTAAAACACAGAAAAAAAATTTGATTAAATCACTGAAATGAAGTACATTCTATCTACACAATTCAATGCAAACAGTAAATGTGTTGAGTCGTCTTGTTAAAAGGCAGTTAGTTAAAACAAAAAATACACCAAATAGTCTCCTTGTTTAAAGGTGTTTGATGCGAATGCCTCAATACCCTACATAGAAATTACAACCCCTCTACTTCAAAGAAAATTTAGAGGAAAAAAAGACAAATAAAATGACAAAAAGAACTTAGATTTGATCCTCAAGACACTTTTTTTTTTTTTTAAGAAAGATGTTACCTAGTAACATAGTAGAATGCATTATGTTCTGAAGTGTAGTAAATTGGGTCTCTTCAATTTCCAAATCTCACCTTGAATTTCATGTTCACATAATAATCTGTAATGATCCTGGCATTTTTACGAGTTTGCCTCATGCAGCTTATGCTGGATGGCTTGATGAATATAATATAGGGCTTCAGTTCATGAGTCCGGGCTATCTGGATGCCCTGCAAATTAAGAATAAAAAGAAGTTAAAGTATTTCAAGTGTATTCATCCCAGCTTTATTCCCATAAAAAGCCAATTGTTTACAATGCACTATTATCTCCAGACCTAGCAGTAATCTTTTCCACGAACACCTACTTTAAAATGACCTCACTAATAATCCCCGGAGCAGACATTACTAAGCAAGTATAGCATACTGGTCGTTTAATTCTGATTGGTAACCTTATTAGGAGATGCTTTCAATGCCAGTGTCTGGACGTTGTCATTAACAAATCAACAACATTAAAGAGGAATCTTTTTTTTTTCCCTTTAAAATACTGGGTAGCTACCTTTAGAAAAGTACACCTTTACTCCATCAAAGAAAATATACTGCTTTTGGTAATCTCTGTGCTGTGTAACATTCCCTGATGTTAGCAAGTATTTTTAAACTACTCTACTGCAAAGCATTGGAAGGAACTGAAATAAAGAAAAAGATAGAAGAAAATAAAAACTGCAGCAATTGCAGCATGTAAAGGTGGCCAACCTGTCAGATTTAAAATACAAGTAGGCAAGTACACAGTAATTCTCCTACCTCCCAGCAGTTACTAAAGAACATTTATGTGCCATTGCTCCATATCCTTACTAAATATTGCCCCAAAGTGACACCCTAAAAACTGATAGTGGCACATACGTTCAAGCAACAAGATGACTTCTCTCCCTTCTCCTCCCTCTTGTTTACGGGAACTGCAGCAGAAGAAACCTATGGACAGTTTAAGAGTCAAAATGAAGACTGAAGTGAGGCCTCACCTGCCCCTATAGCCATTTGGATTTTGAATAATACCCCCAACAGGTGATGTAACTTAACTTTTATTTAGAATAACACAAACTACTGCTAACCTAAGGCTCTGACTAGCTCTGTGTAAGTAGAGGGAAGTTTCTAGGAATGCGTGAGTTGTGGTTATCTCTTTACGTTCAGTTATAAGTGATGCTCAAACCCTGCAGCCTAAACAGCTACTAAGTACTAACATAACAGATAAGTTTAAAGCTGTGTCCAGCAAAATCCTACGAGTCTTATGCCCCTTCTCAAACAGCTAACATCTGCAAACCGTGGACCTTAGATTAATTGTAGTCTACAGAGCAAGCATTCCCTTTAAGTTCTTGTAGAGCTATTTGGTTACACAGACCAGCAGCTTACTTACAGCTGTTAAGTTACTTCTAAAGAGAAAGAAATGCACGATAAAATTCCCTATTTTTGCTTGATTAAGTTGTTGCTTTTGCTAAAGGGTGTTTGGAGATTGCTAATGGAAGGACAAAACTCTTAACTAACAGGCCTTGGAGAAACAGGAAATACCATGCAAGAGCTTCCACATGAATGAATAATCCTTGCTGTAAGCAAGTATGAAAACTTTTCTGCATCACTCCAAATGATAATGCAGCTGTTGACTCAGAAACAAATTAACAAGAGAATTAGGCAGATCTATATGTACCTGTTACTGTAGTATTTTTCCCCACCACTAAGACCCATGCAAAGAATGATCTACTATTAGTAAGCACCACAAGCTAACATGAAACACAAGACAAAGCATCTAACAGTAGCTCAAGGGTGTATATAAAATTATTTTTTTCTTCCAGGAGATACCAGTTGTAGATTCCCTGCCCCTTTACAACTCACCTGTGGTTCTAAATCTATTACACAGATCTTCCCTTCATCAAGGACTGTTCGCACTGCATCAACACTGGTACCATACAGGTAGCCTTTGTATTCTCCATATTCCAGCATCCTGCAACAGTGGCGAGGAAGAAGGAAAATGACAGAGTGCTTGAGTCTCAAGAAGGTTCTATTTAAGGTTACAACGTTCAGATCTAATCCACTGATCAAGAATGAATCATGATAAAATGTAAGGAACATTGCTGAACAACCTCCACCCTTTTTCTTGCTTGCTACACGGGGCACAAAATCAGGACTATTACAACTAATCTGAACATCTCAAAGCACGCATTTTTCTACTTATTTTGCTATTATAAATGATGTGTTCAGAGGTTGAGATTCTAGTATAGAAGGTTTTACAATGGGTATAGTACTAATAACTTCATAAATGGGAAGATCTCAAAGCACTTTGCACAGCTAAAGCACTGTAGCTTCTGGTGCTAAGTTGGTCTGTTTTAGTATAGAGACCATTGAAGCATACAACAGAGCAGACAGTTCTGAAAGTTTGGCCCTTACAGTTCAGGTTCTTATATGAAGATGTTGTAACTGCAAAGGTTCTGCAGTGGAAATGTATGTAAGGAACACGCCTTTGGTTTTAGAAGGCAGCCCAGTTTTCAGAAGGGCTCGACTCCTAACTTAAAAATGACATCATATGAGCTTGGAAATAGAGATCACACTTTAAGAAGGACTCCAAGATTCCTTATAGAGGAGCTGATTTGCAACTGCATGAAGAGTTTTTGAGACAATGGGCTCAAGTAATTTGACCTAAATTTGCACCAAAGATACAGCAAGCATACAGAGGAGCCCATACCCAAGCCCTAACTACAAAAACATCTTTCCTTGGATTTATTGTAGTTTAAATAATAAGAGTGTAATTTATCTTAGTTACCTGTGGCTGTACACCATGTTTTCAAAAGTTTCTTTTGATACATAGTGATATTCACGACCATTCATTTCATAACTCTTCTGAACACGAGTGGTATCTGGAAATAGAGATGGGATGGAAATCAATTGCAAGTAAGTTCTTGTAATATTGTAAGTGAAAATGTGACACCCTTCTTGAAGACATATAACAATATTTACACAAGTAATAAAATTACTTTTTTTCATGTTTTAGTCCAGAGTAAAAGCATTGTCTTACTACTGGCTGCCCAGTAGGAAGTGCTTGAATGGGAGGAGAGTGTTTTAATCTGAGTATCAGCAACTCAAACCAAGAACTTCTTTTGAACTGGTATGCACAATTGCTTTTCCTCCTGAGGTAAAGTTAACTCAAGTTCATTCTGAAACATTCTGCAAGCCTTCCCACATTTACAGTTTACTTGTTTTTTAGATCCTAAGCATAATAGAATTCCTAAATTTTCTATGAGATTCAGATTCATATATTGCATGATTGGTTTTCCAAATGAAGAACAAAATAACCACAAGTAGAGACTGTTTCTATGATTATATCAGAAATTAAGCTGTGTAAGTCTCATTCAAGACCAGAATACTAATAAGGAAAGCTGCAAAGCCTATTAAGCACCAACTTCAGATGCCTTCATTCTCATATCCAGTCACTTGAATACTAAGAACTTACATAGTCCACAGCCTAAGAAATATTCTGATTTCTTAATCTAGAAAAGCTAATGTAATGATTAAACAAAACCACACAGATTTACTGCTATGTAAAGTTCAATGGTTTCATGAGCTGAAACTTGGAAATATCTTTGGCTGATTTGCAAAATGAAGAGGAAGTATTTTAAACTACTTAAATCCTTATAAAACCAAGCAACTCTGACTTGCAGTAAAAATCAACCATGCAGCAAAGAGTGTATGCATACCCAACAACAAGAGATAGGTACCTGACATTTCCTAATCACCACTTTTGAAAGGGGGTGGGGGAGAAGAGGAAGAATGCTACATACGAGGTACAGCACTTTGAAACTCTCGTGGGTTACTTGAGATAAGCCTTCGCCGAAGCTCATTCACACCCACTCCTGCAGGACCTGAACAGTTGAAAAAAACACCTAATATTACTGACAGAGGCACCTTTGGCATGCACAACTCTCATTTTCCAACACATTTACCAATTCACTTGTATGGGCAACATGATAAACTCATGTTTTTAGTAAACAATGACCTACCACCAGAATAGAAATCAGATAGCTACTTTTGTTGCTGGATTTCTTCACAAGTAATCACTCCACAGTTTAATCCTGTGGATTGCAAGTTCCTGAAAAATGTACCAGAAGCAACTGAACCATCTTGATGGATCATGGCACAAATCACTTCCCAGCAATAGTCACTCCCATGAGGCAACTCAGCAATACCATTTTAAAGTAAAATATTATCAAAACTTCTGGACTTTACTAAATCTGCTTCATTAGGAACGCAGAACAATGCAGAAAAACAGATTTCTTTCAGTCACTATGAGTAAAGACTACTTAGAGACTGCAGCCTGTTTAATACAATGTTTACTATAGCAAACGTTATTAAAGGCATTGTTTTCTAGCTTTCCCTTCCACCCATGACTGAGATTTTTCCAGTCAAGACTTTTCAAACATTCTTCTTTGTACTGCCATATCCATGTATTTTTAATTATGGTTGTGGAAATGCCTCCATGTTTCCCTAGCGAATTACACGTTTTCTCATTGCTTTTTTGTATCAGTACCAACTGAATAATAAGACTAAATCACTTGTCTAATAAAATGCATTTTTAACAAAAATGCATGACTACTGCTGAAGACTTCTATTAAAAAAAAAAAGAAAAAACATTCACTGTCTCAAGGAAACATGATGTATACATTAGACTTTAAAATCAACAGTGAGGTCAAGTTTCAAACAATCGTTTTGAAATGTTGCTTTCAGAGCTACCTACACAGTAGCCACTACCTGTTGCAATCAGGAGCAGGAAATCTCAATGGATTCTGACCAGGACAGTTTCCTCGCCTCCATTACAGGCTGTGAAATTAGCATCAGAAAGTAATTACAGCTTACCCACTAGTACAATTAGCCTGTTCCGGTCTGCTGGATGCCGCTGGTACCTAACCACCTCCTCATAAGGAGCTGCAAGAGCGCTGTAACAGCTGCTGGGGCACCGAGCATAGCATGACTGCTGGTTGTTCCAGGATTTCCTGCGACACAGGCGCATACTTCTGCGGAACCCAGCTGTAAGGAACAAAGGTATCAGCACCCAAAACTACAACTGAAATGCAAGCAGCTAGTTCTGTAGCCTAGAATGTCTTCTTCTAAGCTAAACATATGATGCATTTTTGAGGTGTTTCCTTAAACATTCGTTTGACTGCTGTACCTAGTGTATCAACTTGATACACTGAGCATACTCTGAGCATTAGAAGACAGCTAGAAATGAGGTCAAGTCTCATTGAAAGCTACCCAAAAATTAGCCCAGAATTAAAGACCCCAAAAAGACATCCAAAACAAGCCCAATGAGAAGTTTATAGCTGTATAAAGCATCGCTAGGAACAGACCAATTGTGCATTTTTTTTTGGTGGCGGTGCTTGGTTTTTATTTGAAGGTGTAGCTGTAACACTCTGCTAAAAAGCTCTGGAATATTTTTTTCCGCCTACAGAATGAATCTCGGTATTTTACAGATCACTGTGGTTTAGTAACAAGGACAAGTTTGTTGCTTCATCTTACCATCCAATTCTGAAAGCCTCACTTTTAGGTCTACTTTTTTAATGAAAGCACTCAATTATTCTTGATTTATGACAGACAATAGAACATTATGCTCTAATATAGAGAATCTTGAAATAAGCCAAGTCTAGCAGCCAGTCAAATAAAATGGTGATGACCAGGTCTCAGTGGAAATCTGATGTGGAGAAGCTCAAATGGAGAAAACAAGTACTAGTATAAGGGAAATGACTTCCTGAGGTCTGGAAAACAGAGCAAGTAGAATTCAATTCAGTAAGTCTTTAGGTGAAGTGAAGAAACTTGAAGAAATTTGACTGAAGCTTCACACAAACATTTAATCTAAATCAAGCCCCAAACACCTTACTTATCTTCAGTTACTGCATACCAATAAAGACTCGTTGACCAAATTCACCAAATTCTTCCTCTTCTACAATAAGAAAAAATTCTCATGAAAGAAAAAGAAGACTGAAAGTTTAAGAGCTAAATGGCTAGCAATTATTTCTGATCCCACATGAAAAGTGTTGCAGTAAACAAACTAGTACTATGATTAATCTAATTTTAAAAGCAGAATACTCCATAATATGAAATATTCAAATGTGACCAATATTTCTATAAGAGAGAAAGTTAGCTTACAAATTCATATTGTTTCTAAGTTAGATGTGAAACTTGATGTTTTATTTGTTCTATTTCTAAGATATTTAGATACCAGACAATGTTTCTAAATACTTCAAGTACAACAAGAACTCTGCATAATTTAAACTTCACAGATTAAACCTAGCTTAGAAGAATTCTTTAGTTATAATGTTAAAATAACCAATAATTCAACAGCTTAAAACAAGAAATAAAAAATAAATACGCAAGTCAATTTCTCTGCCCAATAGCATATTTGGAAAATGCAATACACATCTGCTTAGATCATTCAGGTAGAATGAAAACAATTTTTTTAATCATCTTTATCTGTACCTCAATATCACAGAAAAATCTGTTTCTTCTCATTTCTTTTGCCCCTATTTTCACGATGTTTCTTGTAATAATGTAACGAATTTGGTGAGTCTTCTAAATCTCTACATGCACTTTAAAGTGAAATTTCTTCTACAAAGCTCAAAAATATGAATTTCCCAGTAGATCGATGCTCTAACAGTTTAGAAGCAATTTTATTAATGTGATTTGAAGGCACTTAAAAATGGTGATGGTGTTCACATTTCTCTTCAAAAAGGACTCTGAATTTTCCCTAATTGTGCATTTAGTTATCCAAGCTGTGTATTGCCTTTATTTAGGCCTTGCTAAATCAAGAATGAGATACAGAAGACATAAGCATAGGCCTTTTTTTTTTTTTTTAACCTTCATTTATTTTGAGCTACTATTCACATCTTTTTTTTTTGAGGACTTCTGCTTTATCTACCCTCTGTTCTATGGTATGGAGTACAGCACGGAGTCCTACAGTGAACAAGCAAATCAGGTATCAGCTATCATAAGTGGAGTGTAGTTCCTGGTAATGCAATAAGCTCTGTTAAATTCTAAAAGCCTACTGCTTACAGGAAATAGGGAGGAAAGAAAAGTTAGTGTTACCTTCTTTAAGCTCCTCTGAGCGTTCAAACAAAAGACAGACATAGAACAATTAGTAAAGACTGTTTCCTCAAAAATAAGATGAAAGAAACCAACCAGCATGACCCAAAGCTTTTTGGAACTTTGGGGAAAGGGTATTGCAGGCTTTAAATCCAAAAAGCACCCAAGGAAGCATGAATATTCAGTTCCCAAAAGACATTCAGCTACAGCACCTACTTCAGTAATCGTACTTGCAAAATATCTCACAAAGGTGTCCAGCTACTTGTTAAAGTAAAATGAAGGATAGAAAATATTTGTGATTTTATTCCTCTGTCTACACACAGCAGAGAGCTGACTCAGCAGTGAGTGCTGAATAGGATTTGCAAGTGTAATCCCCAAATGCAATTATCACTAATGTCCTAGTCTGAAAACAAAAAAAACGTCTTGTAGACCTGCTGGTTCTGTGTTAAAAGCTTTGGGCACTGCTTAAGAGGTGGAAGAAAGCCATCTGTGATAGGAGAAAATCCTACTGGCAAGTCAAATGGAGATTAGCAGCAGGAAAAGTAAGGTGGAATCACATTTTGTCCACAAGATTGCCAAATATCTCAAACAAGAAGTTTAGCAGTAGCAGATTTATTTTAGTGGAAAACTTATTTATTTCAGAAGATTTAGGTTTTGCAGATCTCTGAATATGCAGTATATGCAGCTTTTCCCTACAAGGACCAGCTTCATTAAAAAACACCACAGATTGACTGTCTTATCTTATGCATACAGCATTAATTTCATAGAAGCATTTTGTTGATTGTGTGCATGTTTGGTATGCAAGAAACAATTCAGAACAGCTTTCTTCTCTACCACATCAACAGCTCCCTACAGACACTGTGGAGTCAGGCCTTCTGTCACACTCAAATCCCATTATCCTTTCTGACATCAATGCAGCCCCTGCTGTCGCAGCTTGCACAGGTATAACTAATTAAGATTTGATGTATGTATCTGTTACTGATGCATAAGAAACACAATTGCATTGCCTCTGTAGAATAACAGAATAAAAACTGTACTGTAAGGTAATCTGAGAGGAAGAAAAGACTAAAGCCAACAGGATTTTACAGAATGGCCTTTAAAGCCAAAATGGCTTTTAAAACTAGAATAGTATTCTTGTTTTTTCCATCTGTTTGTTTTTTGTTGTTGCTGTTAATTTTAATCCACTTGCATTTCTGTGGACACACTTCTCACAGCAAAACAATAGCCAGGAATTCTGTTAGGTCAGAGGAACTTACCAGACTCAAACGTTTCTTCATCTTTTTAGAAATCCAGAGAGCAAAGATATTAAAAAATTATTAAAAAATAAGTATTTTCCTCCCATAGAACTTCATAATCAGAAATTAATTTTTCAGGTTCCTATCAGTCTGTCTCAAACACAGTTTTCCTCACTTCCTTCTACAATGAGGTGGCTAAAGTGCAGCTTGCCATTCCTGAATTAACTGTCTGGTCTCTCTCCACAGTCTGTCTTCTGGAAATCTGTTTAGAAACCGAAAACATTTGTTCTCCAATAGCGTAACACACAGTAAGTGGATGGGTGTAGGAATCTGAGGACTCTTCATACAGAGTCTGTGTTGTGTTGTTTTTTTTGTGCGTGTGTGTGACTGCAAATCCACGGTACCTACTTCCATGTGAAGCAGACATTTTCATATCCCCTGCGCAACACCAAAGGGGACTCAGGCTCATCTGAGCCTACAGTTAAAGATGTGACAGTGACCGCATCCTTACCCTCCAGTTAAGGATTTGAGGGGACTGAGGCCGCTATGTTCAAGGCATGCTATATGAGCTATGCCACTTTATGTAAATAGTACTTGCTCCCTAAATAACTATTCTTGCTCGGTTCCTAAAACTGTACTTGCTCGGTTCCTAAAACTGTATTCACCTCAGATCACACCCTGTACAATCAATTGTGTGGGTACTCAAAGATTACAATAATATCTAGCATGAAATCTAGAACAGACAAAAATTATGTTAACATTACACAGCCCAAACCTGAATCAAACAAGCTGGACCTCAGATATGTTTTTTGAGTGGTCCCTCATTTCAGCACAACACCTCACTGTAAACAATCATTCACAGTATACCAGAAGTGCAGAAAGCCCATTTTAATACACTATCATGTTTCCAAAGTAAAAAATAAATTCTACAACTAAGTTCACTTTAAGAATGATTCTCTTTACCTGGGAAACAAAATCACACTTTGACTAGCTACTACTTTGAAGTAAACAGAATCATCTCAAGTGAATTCAGTTACCTGTTTCCACGCACTTCTCATCAATCTGCATGTCATCTTCTGCAGATCAACACAAGAAAAAAAAGTTATATGAATCAGAAAAAAATGTGGAGGAAACAAAATTCTTACAGATCTTACAAGACTGAACTCAGACATCAGGAAGATATAAAGCTCAGATCAGTTTTAGACATCTTGATGGACTTCAAGCACTGCAAATCCAACATCATCACCTTTAGTGAGCAAAAGACTGCTCTTAAACCAGTGCTTTGAAGCATTTATGACCAAGAAGTGAACATTTATTTTGAATTGTTTTCGCAGTAGTAAGATGTTTAACATGTCTGTTGCTCTCTTCACCCTATAGAAATCTTTTTATTAAATATTACCATGACAGAACAATTTCCACTCTATTCTCTCTGATAGTCTGTGTGCACATTTTTCTAGTATGTTTTGCTCAAGAAAATGGTTTTGTTTGGTTGATCTGTAGTTATTTTCACATGGAAAAAGAAAGAAAATATCAATTCAGCTCCCTCTCCATGCCCAGACTGCATCAATTCATGTCCCTGAAATCTAATGTCAGGTTTGGTCAATCTCATGGGTTCACAATACTGTACTGTGTGGGTATTCTTTTCTTGTATGCCCCTGCAGACAGGCCCAGCAGCAGCGCGTCTGTCAACCATATTCCTCCAGTCCCAATAAACTACTATCTCCATCCTAAGCATTTGCCCAAAGGTATCCTTTATAGAAATACTCTTGGAGTTGCTCAGGTGAGCTGCTGAACACTGGGGAGAGAAGTGGGGAAAGCAGTTCTTTCCTTAAAGAACCCCATCCAAAACCTCAGTTACCTACTAGATAACGCACAGCTTAATTTTCCACTATTAGAAAATGTAGACTTCTACTATTTCAAGCAAACAGAAGACTTACACACAAAACAGGAACTAAGCAAATGCATGCAAAAGAAACTCAAACTGCCTTGCTTCTGGCAACTTTTCAAGAAAGTTAAAAAAAAAAAATAGCTATGTTGATTCTAGGTACAGACATGCAATGTAGCCCAGGCACCATCTCCTACCTTCTTCCACAGTGCTTACTGCCCAGTGTATCATATCCATTGAAGCAGTTAAAATGCAATAAAATTATTGTGAAAGAGCTCTAAAAGTAATCAGTGTGATAAGAATCCTACGCAATGAAGAGCACAATCTAACAGTTATCACAACAGGAAAAATTATAATTTTATGCAAGTAAAAAGAAATAGTGGAAGAAGTGGTGAGAAAAAACAGGATGAACATTCTTTGTTGGGGAGTAAGTAGAAATTTACAGAAAGTTTAATTATCATTGGCATAGGATAATGTTTCTGGATTGTCACCACAAGTACACCCAGAGGTGGTATAGCTTATCTTACACTGAGGAAAAAAAAGTTCTATCTTTCTCTCAATACTGTTATATCAAAGAAATATTCTAAACATACTGCAAAGCATCTTCCAGTGCAGAACTGTTATATGTGTCTCTGGAAAGTCACTAGGCTAGTACCTTTGTCATTTCAGACTTCCTCACACCCAATTCTATAGGCACAGAGAGCTCTAGCTCTTACATATTTTAAAAGGAACTTAATTCTTTGCTTCTCTCAGACATGTCCCAAATACACTGGAGATGACCACCAGCACCAGTCCTCCATGTAATCTATCATTTAGTAGGTATTTTCAAGGGAATACTTTAAACGCCCTTCTGAAGTGGTGTTTAAACAACGTCTTTTAATTAAACCAAATTTGCATGAGCTTATATTTCAGTATTCTGGGAACTAGAAACAAGAATTCTTCCTACTCTGCCATTCAAATAACGTTTTACTCACACATTGATGATTTGAGACAGAGGTGGGGCTGGAAAGGCTGAGACCACCAGAATTCTCGCTGCTTCCTGCGAAGAAACAAATTTAGCAGTTAAAAAAAAGAAATAATTTGTCCACAAGGGCATTATGCTCCAATCAGATTCACTGACTATGTATAATATCAATCAGTACAGACCTGGTAGAAGACGCGAAGAACGGAAATATTAAGTGTTTTAGCCCATTGCAGAGCACTCAAAAATAGCAGACAACCATCTAAAGGCAATTTACAAATCAGCAGCCCCAAAGTATTTTTGGCTAACATGTCAGGGCAGACACATTAGCCATACTGTTCTACAGACTTGTAGAAATTATAAGATAGCCTTCTGCTTCCAGCCTCAATCACAGCCCAGTGAGATTTCAACTTCAATTATAAAAACTGCAGACATTTATATGTAGCATAAATCAAAGCTTATCATATGGCCCTGCTTGAGCAAGGGGGTTGGACAACATGACCTCCAGAGGTCCCTTCAACCTTAACTACTCTGCAATTCTGTGATCAGAAGGCCTTGCATGGCCTTGTATTTTCCTGAGGGTAACGTAGATGGGAGATGGTAAGAGGATCAAACAAGCGTGCTACAGCAGTTTAACTTCTGTTTACAGTGGATGCTTTCAGAAACACAAGGATATTTATGCAGAAAACAAGCAAGGAATCCTTGTTTCTCCTCAAGCATTCCCTCCCCCCCTCCAATCTCCTTTTCACCTATCATATGAGTTTTGACCAACGCTGAAGAAGTTACTCATGCCTCAATTCTTTTTGTTTGTTTTTTTAATTTTGAAGATAAAATTATGCTCCCATACCATATATTTTAATATCCCACACTACTCCCCACAGCTTTTTTATTTTAAATCATTAATGATGGTCCTAAATAGTCAGGGCCCTTAATTTCCATTCAACTTTCAGATGCTATGCTCCACTAGACAGCTTTGCAACTGACAAAAAGACTATGCGACTGCTGTGGACTTCATAGACTTGGATTTCAGATGGAACAGGTATTTTCAAAAGCATGTTCTCACACAGATACTCTTAACGAAGGAGCAAGAGACCAGTAAAAAGAAGGATGCTTTCCATACCACCAGATCCTACTGCTATGACTGGTAAAAGTTTTAGTAGCAAAAGCTGAATAACTGGATTATTTTTGGACTGGAAACCAGAAAAATTAAGGCTTCTTTACCTTTTAAGAAGATGATTTGAAGGTATAAGTCCAGCACAGGCACTGAGATCTGAAACTTTCCTGGCCTGCCACCAGAGAGCATCATTCTGGTCCACAATCTGAAGTATTTCACCCTTCTTAAAAGGCAAACCTGCATCAGCACACGGTATGGCAGGATCTTGCAATGGACAGTAATCTGCCATTGCTCGCACATATAGCTGGCAAACAAACAAACAAAAAAAAACCACAAGATACAAACTGAGCTTTAAAATCACAAAGCCAGGTATGACTGCTACTTAAGTCAATTAATGACGAAGACATGTTCAAAAAAAAAAGATCAAGCACTAATTCCTATCTACAGAACACTGGGGGAAAGGAGGGCAAGCAAAGAAGCATTGTAAATCATGAAAATTCACCTCTACCCTCTAGATGACTCCAAAAATGTCTTTACCTTTAACACAATTATATTTCAGCTTACTATATAAACTGTTTCAGGAACAGCATATTGACATCAGATGAGAGGCAGCCACTAAGGCAAGTAACTCTTTAAGGACTGTGGCAAACTTGTAAAGAATACCATGTCTTTACATACCAGGGCACCACATCCCTATGCAGATACTATTGTTGCAACTGCTTACATTAACGACCTGAAAAAAAGTGCAACTTACTGTTGTTTGGTTGCTGACAGGACGATCAGAAACTGGAATCAGCTTGAACATAATTGTTCCCTGAGACAAGGCCTAAATGATTAAAGAAAAGTATAAAATATAGTATGACTGGTATTCAACATAACCAATTTCATCAGCACAAACTTAACACTGCATGGCTTTGAGGTTACTATATAACATCTATATTGCAGCTGGAATCAGGCAGACTGAGTTAATATGACACCACAATTTTTATTTATTTTTTTAAAGTAGAATCAAGAAGGAAACTTAAAAATCCTGAATAATCTTTTTTTAATACACCTGTTGTTTCTATGTTGTTTCATACATGTGGTGTTTTTTCATACATGTGTTGTTTCTTTCAGCCTGAATTTGCACACATTCTGATTTCACAAGCAGCTGTGAATTTCATCCACAGCAAGGAAACAACCTGAATTTTCTGTTATAAATTTCACAGTAGGTAAGGGAGGTGGAGGTCGCAGACAGGTAGGGAAGAAGAACAGCATATGGTTACTCCCCAAGTAGAAAAAATTCAAAATAGATTAAATACCAGAATATTAATAACTTGCTCAGGCTCAAGTCCTTCAACAGGAACTCCATTTACTTCCACTAGTTTGTCTCCAGCGTACAACAACCCTATAAGGAAAAAGGGATGAAAGAAACATTTTAATATAGCTTTATTTCCTAAAATAATTTCTGAACATCTTCCATCTAAACCCATTACACTAATAAATCATGAAACTTGGAAACAGACCTTTAGAAACTCCTTATCATTTGGGTGCAGAGGGGTACCTTGGGACCCCTTTAAGTCTTTTATGAAGTCTCCATGTTGTTTACTTTTACTGAATAATTAATGTCAATTATAACAACTCAAATATTTACCCAGCTAGAAACACAGTCAACTATTGCCTACCATTTCTATGCAGAGAAGAAAACAGAAGCCAGACAATACCAACAGAAATATTATGATTGCAATTCAGTTTTGTTTCCAACATTTTACATTTTAGTTCCATTTCCAAAGGAACATGGAAAACATGCAATTCTAGGATGACTAAGTAGTAATGTTTCCAAGGAAATGCCATTAAGTTTGCTTAGCAACTAATGCTACCAAAATGTTTAGTTGACTAGTGTAAAGAAGTATTACTACATATTCCTCAGAGCCCTTTATCTTATGGAAGGATATATCTGTAGTCTGTGATTTTATTTCTCCATTAGGGAATGAGCTGCCAATATTCATATTACATCACAGTTTTGGTTATTAACAATCAATTTCATGACAGATTTATGTATTCTTTCTGCCATCATCTCGAGAATGAAAAGCTGTATTTGTACCTCAACTCTCAAAATGTATCATGTTCATATGAAAATGAAATCAGAATGAAACTCACTGCAACATATCACTGTTTACACAGTGCTGTCCAGTGTACGCAAGATAAATTGTAGAAGCAAAGCTATTTATTTCAAAAAAATCTTATTTCAAGTTTCATTTTGTATTATCTTGCTTCAAATTATACATACCACTTCTGTCTGCTAGCCCACCATTGATCACACGGGCAACTGTTATGTCACCTGTTATCTCATGGCGCTTAATGGTGGCACCCTGGCAAACAGAAAAAAACACTGTTTGATCACTGAAGAATCTGCAAGTTTCCTTTCAAATCACAAGCCTGATCTCCTTTGCAATGACAAAAAGGCATTGAAAGATGCACCTTTTAAACACAACACACAGATCTAGCAAGAACATATCAGTAGTAGTACTATTGCATTGTACTAAGTCCTTCAACATCCTCTGCTCCCATCATGCTAAAATAACCTTGATGACCTACTCTGAGACATCTTTATCTCAAACATTATACCTCTATTTTCCTAAAGCAGATTAGTCAAACTATACAATGTTTTCAGCCTATAAGCGCAAATGAACCTTTCTGACTTCTTCCTCCTTTCCTTTTTTTTTCCTTCTTTCCTATTTTGACCAACAGAATAGCTCTTGGTCCTATTTGCATTTTGAATTTTCCAAGATAAAAACATCTGCCAAATGTTCAGACCCTGACTGGACAAGGCTCTGAGAACAACAAGCTCTACTTGTGCCTGCATTAATCAGGAAGAGTTAGATGGTCTCCTAATGCACTTTCCAACCTCAATTCTTGTGATTCTCTGATTCTGTACCAACTAGACAAGTATGCACACAATCTCTGTTACATTCCTAGGGAAAAAAAAAACAACGCAACAATATGCATGTGATGCATTATGCAATACTTGAGTAAGATAAAGTAATTTGACAGACATCAGAAAACTGCCTACCAGAGGTTGGTTGTTTTTCACTAAGCAGACAATCCTCATGGCTTCCTCATTTTCAGGTATGTTGTCTGGCAGTGGTGGAAGTGTTGGTTCAAAATCTTTCTGGGCCACAGTATCATGAGCAGATAGCATGGCCTGTTACAAAAAAAAAAACATATCAAACAAAGATCAGACAATAGAATAGATTTTTAACTGTGATAGGTCAGGAAACAGAAATCAGAGACTAAGTTCTCAAGTAGACATAAGTCCCTCTCACACCTTGACGACAACTTCTTTCCACTTGGAAATTTAAACTGTGAAAGAAAGTTTTAAGAACAGTTCCTCTCTTTACTTCCCCTAGAAAACTTACAAAGGATGAAACATTTCTATTTGGAGCTCTAGGGTAAGAACACAAGTTACACGCCACATAAAATTTGCTTTTATAGGTCTGTATCAACTGCTCAGAATTTAACTTTGTAAGAAACATCTCTCTCAAATGTAGTCACTAATAAAATGCAGCACACTGCAGCTGGTGCTTCAGATACAGTCCTCATCTTTATTCTCAACTAGGTTAGCTCATGACTAGGAAACTAAGCCTCTTCTGGGTCCTTTGCCAGTCTCCAGCTGTCCATCTGTTTCCATTCCCATTCCAGATACCTCTATGAGACAACTCTTTCTTTTCTTAAGCAGCACTTGCCCTTAAGTGTGGAGCTCGCAGTAGTCGTCTTAGCTCTTTGATCTCTCCAGACTGAGGGGCTTCACGCAGCAACTCTACCACCTGATAACATAAGAGAATAAGCACAGAGACTGGTTATGGAGGACAATAAAGTATTTTAAGATCTGCATATTACATGACTAAAGAGCATACACATACAATGCTCTAGAATCAGACCATATTACCATAGTTGCACATTACTCAGGCAGGCATAGTTTAGTTCAGGCACAGTGCCATGTGCTCTAAATTAGCTTTTTATATGCTTTAACTGATATCATCATTAGTGTCAGTATCTCCACTTGGTCATTAACTCTCAGTAATTCAGAAATTTAGTAGTTAATTATTAATTAGAAAAAATACAAAAATACACTTGTCAGGGCTCATGCAGTCTAGCAATGACAGCTGTATTTATTTCTTATCCCACTCAACACAGGGACAGTTACTAACTGTTGAACATATGGAGAGAGAATCTTTCTAGTTTATATAGTGTACTCACACCTGAGACTAAATAAATATTAAACATTGTTATTTGTTATTTGCAGCTAAGTAAAACAATACACTGTGTACATAGTCTTACCTCACGATTCAGTGCACGCGCCTGCAGTGTGACAGGCATGGGCCTTTTTCCAAGGTAGTTTTGGAGGCATTCGTAGATCTGTTGCATGCCATGATAGACAAGACAAGGCAATAATGACATGATCTGTTCTCTTGACTATATAGATACATACACAACATGCAAAGGACAATACTGCATTTCCAGGAGTTTCTCAACACAACTAGAGCCACAGAGCTTGTGATCTCAATCTTTAATATCTAAGGGATCTGGAATTGATTCTATAATTAATGGTCCTTCCATATTATCATCCAGCTAGCCAGTTATGCTGCAGTTTTTAATTTTCCAATGAGAAAGTCTGATTACACAGGACAGTGGCATGACAGCATCAATTCTTTGAGTTGTGGCTTACTTTCTTTCCCAAGTTGTGGGGCCTGATTAACAAAGTAAAATTTAACTTAAAATAAATTGCAGTATTTAGAACTGCCATACAAGCATTATTACCCATTGCATTTTTTTTCTTCTTTAAAATGTAAGGATTTTTAAAAGCCTTGTTAGAACAAAATTTGTATAGAATTTGTCTTATAAAGAGATACTGCTGTTTCAGACAGAAACACCTCCAAAATTCTGCTCTGTAACAATGTACAATGTTCAACTGAACACGAGATCAGCATGGCCAAAACCAAACTGTATGATTTCAAACATCCATGCCAAGAGATGGGATACAAAGCCAGAGATTTAAGAGCACAAAAAGACAGCTGAACAGTGCTGTGCTCAGCCTGTGTTTCCACACCCACAGCCTTGGTACAGACATGTCAAGTGATGACTTTAGTGTTTAGGACACTATAAAAGAGAAAACTTTTTTTTAATCCTGAAAGCAAAAGTGGTTTTGTTCACCTTGACTGCTGCTGTTAGTCCCAAGATTAGGATTGGCAGCAGTTAGTGTAATTAAATTTTTATTGTTCAGACATGGCAAAATAAAATAGCTATTCCCTAGATACCACTTTCCAAGAAACCTTCACCTTCATAGCTGAATATTATTTTACCTTTAAAAGTGCTTGCAGCCAGTGAGATCTGAGCAGGTCATATAACATGCCAACACCATTGACATCTCTTTTACAGAGCAAATTCAGTTCTTGTAGCACTAGGGTCAGAATATGAGACAAACCTGAGTCCAAGAAACAGAAAATTGCAACACATTTCAGTACAAATAGATCAAGCAAAGCCAACCAGTGACCCAGACCTCCGAAAAGCAACTTGCCTCAGCTTATACTTCCAAGAAATATATACTGATTTTCTGTTTGCTCTACTTGTTCCTTGCAATCAACTCTGTTGCATAAGAGATTTTTTTTCTATTATGTTATTCATTAGGGTTAGGTCAATACCAACAATTTTAAAGTTACCTGTGAGAAAAAACACATGGGGAATCCCTTACGTATTGGAAGTCTGAGTTCAAACTCAGATCTCCTACTGAGAAGAGGCAGGCATAAAAAATTGCCTTGTTCATTTTATAGGCTTTTCTTTTAGATGACCCACTGTTCAAGCCAGGGACCACATCCTTCTGCATGTTTGAGAAGTACAGACATTCTGGAGGACATCACTAATAAAATATGTCATCCCATTAAATATATACTGCTGTCAGACACTCAGAACACTTCCCAGGAAACGGGAAGAGCTGTTCTTACTGTTCAAAAGTAGTATTTGGTCTGTCAGGAACAGTATTCTGGTACAGTGGGGAGGGTGGGAAGACAGCGTTCTTCTAAAATCTCAAGGAACTGAAGGTAAGAGGTGACAAATAGATCAGATTTTATACAAAATCAGGTCTAGATACAGAACAGATTTTAGTGAGTGCATGGAATTTACTTTAACCTCAGCAATAAGATTAACTAGAAGCTTTACCTTTTTTTTTTTTTTTTTTTATAAAAAAGCAACATTAAACATAGCATGTTTTAACAAGCAATACTGTAATACAGGAAAGATGTTGAAATAGAGGCTACTAGCATCTTGGTTTTAATTAATCAAAATAAAAGTATTTCTTAAAACTACAGCTCATCCAACAGACTTAAATAACCAAGTACTCTCTGATGCACATAGCATAATCAGCTGCCATTATCCAGTCACCACAGCAAACCTGAACATAGAAACCAGCTCTTTTCTACTTATTTCTCTCCTGAGAACAATTTTTACAGCCACTGACAGTTGTTCCCTTTATCAACTCTAGACTGTGTGATGCTACCAACACTTGCGTTGGATCTGTCTTCAAATTTAGCTCCATTATGCAAGAATGTATACAGGTACTTCCTTGCTAAGTTTCTGCAGATAGGACTTCTACCTCTATCATTAGGCAGAACTGTTGAATATCCAAACTCTGAAGCCTGGGAAAGTACCTCATTATCAATTATCTGTTTCTGGAAAGCAGACATCTAACACTTAAATAATGATTAAGATCCATGAACTCTGTGAACCCTGACTGTAAGCTCCATAGGCAAATATCTCCCACAACACAGTTAACTTTAAAAAGATTCCTTTCTATAGGTATTTCCTAATGCCTAGTAGAATGTTAGTTTTGGTTGAAATACTTTAAGACCTTTTTCCTTATTACTGGTTACCTCTATTTGACAACTTGCACCACCTAAACATCTCCAAGAATGCTATCCCTATACAAAGTGGTCAAATAGACCAGTGCATTAAATATAGAAGCACAAATCTTTGAAATACAGACAGTCATTTCCTTCAGCAAAAAAAACTCTTGCAGTTATTAGTAACTCTTGATACAGCTGCAGAGACCCTTGACTTCATAAGCCAGAAACAAATGCCAGGTATTCTTCTCTGACACTATAAATTAACTGCCTACCACCATTACAGATTAAGAATCATTCCCACTATTAGGTAATAAAATTTCTAGATATGTTCATCTCTCTCATGACTCACGTGAGAGTCACATGTACACAGAATAAAACTTTTAGCCAGTTTTCTTTCTCCTGGAAAAAGATGCAAGAGTTGTACGTACCATTATCTTGACTGCAGACTTCTGGCACCTCCATCTTCTTCATTCCAGAAGATTCCATCCACTTGTTTAGAGTGCAGCATTCACACCAAGTAGGTTTCACAAAGATAGATGCTGAACTATGGAAAAGAGTATGTTCATATCGGAAAACCATCAGGTATTTTAAATTGATAAGGAAGTAGAAGAGTGGGGACAACCATTCTTATTTCAAGGGCACAACTGATTGCAAGCACAAACTAAAGGCATGTGCCCCAAGTGTTAATTCAGTTACCCACTAGCAACCAAAACAAGACAACTGCAAACCTACCGTTTTACTTCTTGGAATTGCCATTATTATAGACTACTTAATGCAGCAAGCTAAACTGTTCTGTGTATCTTTTGTCCCCCAGCTTTAAGTGCACTACCATAGAAAGTTATCTTTTTTTCCCTATACACAATACAAAATGCTTTACACAGCTTTGAAAAGAATCATATTCAAAGCAAAATTAAATATAATTATTCTAATTGATACAATATTAAAATGTAAGGATTCTGCGAGTTTCTATTGAATTGTCATTGAGCAAAGGTACAGTTTTGTAAAGAAGGGAACCCTGTTTCAATAACTTAAAATTTAAGGTCTTTGGAAGTATTTGTTTCACAAAGATTTCATATTTTCCTTTTTATTACCTCAAACTTCTGTGACAACCTATCACTATACCATAATGGGTCCTTAGACCAGAAGTGGAAGAAGGTCTCCAGTTTGTTTCTAACAAAGCAGTAAGAGACTGTGTTAAAATAAGAGTTCTTAGAATTCTCTGAAGTTGCATGAAATATGGAAATTAACCAGGTAACACATTTTCTGGCATTCACACAGTCCTGTCCTGATTGATTTCTCTGGAATTGTAAAATATGGTGCATTTCTACATCAATGCATCAAGAATCCGCATACAAGAGATTTATATTAATTCATCATCTTCATTACATCTTAGCTGATCCAACTTCAAATCACGCTTGAAATTATTCAAATCAAGTTTGGAGATATTGTCATGATTGCCATTACTGTAGGATTACTTGTGAAGGGCTAAATATTTGAACTGGTCACTTGAGAAGATTCAGAGTACAAGTTGAACTGTAACATGAGTTAACTGAGTACCCCAGCCAACAGCAAACAGCAGTGTGACACCATGCACAGTATAATGCCTTACCAAAATCTGTTAAACATATGATAGCTTATCTCCCAGATTAGTAAACCATAAAGGCAGTCATTTCCCTCTAAATTGTTCTGTGGAAAGAAAATATCAAAAGGTACAAACAGGAAATGCCTTATCTTGATCTGCTTATAAAAGCAGAAGGCATTACTGTCACTTTTACTGCAGTTCTTAATACTTATTTTCAGATCATGTTTACTCTCTCCAGTTAAATCACAAAACTGCTTTCAAAAGGCAGAAGAAATGAAGAGAGACACACACACATACCCCTGCCATGAAAATCAAGAGATAACTATTCAAACATTTTATTACTGAGTATTGGCTATTCATTACAACCTACCTCCATAGGATGCTCCATTATATATTTCACTGAGATTCTAATACGAAAGATTTTTACAATTATATCTTCTTTCAAAAGACCAACAAAATATTGTATGATCCTTCCCCAGTTTCCCCAGTATCCAATGCAACATTCCAGTGCTACACTGCATAATCATTTTTCCATTGAGAAAGATTTGTTTTTTTCATATTTTACAAATGTAACATTGAATCCTCCTACCACATATCCATTGGGAACTGTGTTCTAATTTATTTCCCCCCCCCAATAGTCTGAGTTCTGTTCCTTTAAGGGTTTGCCTTCCCCTTTGTTAAGCTTTGTTAAATCCATCATTAGGCAGATCAGCTAAGCAGACCATATAAACCTAGCCATGAATACCTGTTTCTTAATTACAGAAGACATTAGGAGTAGGGAAGAAACTTTACTGTGGGATGGTTTAGACAAGAAAAGAGGAGTCCCTGCATTGTAAAATACATTCAAGGATTCATGGAACCCTGTTTTTTTTACTGAATATCAGCAATATGGAAACACAAATAACCCTCAGCTTGGTTGCTCTGTCCCATGTTTTTGGGAGGGAAGAGTCCACAGCTACAGATCCAGTTGTAGAAGTATTTACAAAGCCAATCTGTGAGTTACATCCTGAAAGGAAGCTTCTTCTGACAGCTTATCCTGTAAACTGCATTTCAGAAGCCTCATTTCCTATTATTACTACTCATTCCAAAGCATCTCTTGCTTTTATAACTAGTTACTTAAATCTGAAAAAACATAAAGATAGACATTTCTAACATTTGTTGGTTACCATGTACAATGGCTGCTTGCTTTTCTTTATCAAGTCCAATAGACACCCAACAGCATACTCCTAATTCAAAATCCTGATTAGTTTTGTGATAAAGGATGTTTGAAGACCAAAAAAAGAGCACGTCCAAACATTTCAGACATGCTATATAGAGATAGTTCTGATCTATGTTTTATTTTGCATATTGAAATCCCAGATTTAAAAGTCAGACATACATATACCCTTCTCACAAAAACAAAGATCACCACCCCTTCACAGATCACCAGAGGGGGAGCTGCAAATACATACGGAAAGACACGAAAGACAAGAGATCTCTGAAAGCTTATTGATAGAACTAGTCAAAAGACAGAGTGTAACACCAGAACAGACAAGCAAAAAAAGTCAACTAAACTTAAGACTCCTGATTAACACTGAAAACTGAGTATTTTTCTTGGTGATAATTAGTGTGAATATAGACCGGCTTTGTTCAACTAGTGTTGCTTACCAAATAAGCATGTCACCATATTGACAGTCACCAATGATGTATTCTCTTGCAAAAAGAGAAGTTTTGCAGAAAGAACCCCTCCAGTCTTCGGAATACCTTAAGTTACCATTTAGTCTTACAAGCCAGATCATGTTTATGATTTCTTCTTAGCTTGAATAGATCTTGCACAGCACAATGAGTCAAAATGGGAAAGAACTAAACCAAAGAAAAGTTATCCTGTACCTGTCAAAGAAAGAATATCCTACAACCTTCTACTTGGCAGTTATTCAATTATTTTTTTTTTATGAGATTAATTTGTTTAGGAGTTTTAGACACACTGTTTTCAAGGTTGACCTCAGATTTCCAAGGAAAACTAAGAAAGCTACTGAATGTTGACTGATTGCCTTTGGGTGAAAGCCTTGGATATAGCTATCAGAAAGCAGCTAGGGTTAACAAACTAAGCTAGCAATCCTTCCTTTTTTACACTACAGTGTTTATGCTCACATTGACAGAATAAGCACTTAAACATCAAAATCTGTCATGTTTTTAACAATGCATCTCACCTCATTCATAAAGCAGTAGCTGTTTCATATTTTCACATAACAGGAAAGCAGCTTCCAACTGTGAAGTCTGGTTTAAGCAGCAGTCAGGAGCAACAGACGATGAATAAGTCATTACCAGAAGAGAAAATGAAAAATGTCTGGCTTATTTGAACTTCCTTAGGAAAAGGCCGACCGAATTGCTAGCTTCTAGGAAAAACTAGCTAAGACTACCACTTGTGCTTTCATTCCTTGAGATATCTACACAGACTGTAAGGCCAAAGCTCATGGTCTTCTCATTCCAGGGATCCTAATAAATTAGATATAATTTCTTGTTAAAAGGCTTACCTGACTATCTACCAGACAGCATTCACACATACTGCATGCAGTTACAGAAGCTCATCAAAAAAAAGACATAGCTCTTTACCTGTTATTAGGGAAAGAACTGGTTGTCCATACTGAGTGCACCATGGTTTGAAGAGTCTAAAGGAATCATGTTACCCCATGCCTATAAAAATCAATTATCCCAAATTTCAGCTACAGGGCCTACTTCCTTCAGCAGAAATGAAATTCATTGAAACTAATATCACACAGTCTAGAAGGTCTTACTGATACAAGATTAGAGCTTTTTAATTTTTAACTAAAAAAAAAACAAGCTAAGACATGAGTAGAATAATACACTTATTTTAAGCGAAGACTGAGATACATTCTTTGAAACCATTTATGCCTATTTTGACCCAAAAACCATTACTGCAAGTTTGAGGTAACCCAGGTTAGAAAGCAGACACGAGCATGAATTTTTTTCAGAAGTCACTCTATGAGATTTAGATAATCACACCCACATACATAAGGTTGCTGATGGCACAAAAAATGCCATTACTCTTTTGTAATCAGATATATCCGATGATATGATTCCAGATGTATCTGACGATATGAGTCATCCTGCCTCCCTCCAAAACAAAAGCATATAGCTCCACTGGTGAAGCCATTATCTTGTTTACACGGGGGTAACGCCACCAAAGTATTGCCTCCTAAAGCAAAAGCACATTCAGAGAATACATGAGTGCAGCAAACTGCAGTCATGTGAGGGAGGCAGCTTTACTTCCAGCTTCTCGTTGCCAACAGCCCAGTCTTACCAAACAGAAAACTGACAAGATCAGTACATTGATATTAAATCAGTTCAAGTGTATAAGGCAAGGTAGTTCAAAGAAAGGACTTCACAGTCTTTTTTTTTTTCTACAGTATCTCTCACCATACAAGAGATTGTTCTTTGAAGTGCTTCTGAAACAACAAGAGCAGCTCCGAAGTGAAGCTATGTCCAACAAAATTAGTCAATGTATAGCACCTAGCATTCAAGTCAGATTATTTGGTAAAAGATTAGGAGTAAAAAAGAAATCTCTTTTTAGTTCCCACTCTCCATTCATACACATTTAGCTAATGGTAACTAAAAGCTATCACAAGTTTAATTAGCTTTGCTGTAGCTATGAGGAGAATCTAACTTCAAAATTGCATGCGGGAAATTTATCGTACAGTACAATGGTTTCAGTACAGAACATTTTCTTACCTGTAAATACAGCAGATCACACCATGTCCTGCTCATGTAGAATTTCCAGAGGGAAAGAATATTTGTTGGATGTTAGTAAAGCAAGTATCCTCACTGCCCTGGCTAATCTACAGACATCCCCTCCTTTTTAATCCGCAGAAACCTAACCTTAGAACTACTCATTACCAGGGAGAAGAGAACAAATCCCCTTAACCCTTCTCTTGCAGAAAAAGCCTACTTTAAGTTGTCTCACATAAGAGGTTTCTTATTTGCAGCAACTTTCCTAGTCAATAGGACACCTAGCTCTTAAGGTCTGTCTTCACTTACTGTGCCTGTAATTACAACAAGAACGTGTAATATTGTAACCTTGATCTTCTGTTGCTCATTACAGAATTTCTGTTGCAGCAGAAGAAATATCCAAATTTCAGTTTAAGAAAATTTAAAAGAAAAATATGAGGAAAAAATGAATTATCATGAAGTAACAGAGATTGAAGTCCTGCAGGTTAACTCTTTTTTTCGTTAGCTACAGAAATACACAGAGCTGCTTTGTACTCGTTTCCTAATGCATCACAGCCCACATAGGCTGTAAATTGGAATCTGTGTCAGAAGCACATTTAATCCTAGGATTCTCTTCATCTAATAACTAAACTATACATCAGAAATACCAAGAACATCCAGCCCAGACTGTCTGCTTTATATTTATGAGCAAGCTAAATTCATATGTGATATCACTACTTGTTCTAAGAGATTATGTATACAGATAGAACAAGTAGATATATTTTGTTTTTTAACCCCTTACTTTGTAACGTTCAAAGTGAATGAAGTTGAACATTTGAAGTTGTTATGTATTTGTAGCTATACCTCTTCTTGAAAGGCAGGAAAGAGAATGGAAAAAAACAACCTCTTATCTCCAGTTACATTCTTGGTTTAAAGAAGAGAAGCAGTATAGGTGTAAGGTCATATGAAAAAAGCTTTTCACATGGCAAAGCTTATAATAAAATCCTTTCTTATTCTGAAACACCTAAAGACAAGTAACACTGATGCTGAACAGTTACAGTGAGAAAAAAAATCTGATTTAGAAAAAAAATCTGATTTTAATCATTTGCACTCTTACAAAAGGTGAAATAAATCATGAATCCATCTTTGCAGATTAAAATTATTGCCATGGGTTTACTCAGCTGTTTAGCATAGCTCCTTATTCAGGAGCAATTCCGCTCCTGCTGTTTTCTGTTAAATATTTTGTACGTTTTGTTCAACAGATGAGTGCATGGAAAGATACCTAGCACAAAAGATTAAGTGTTAGAATTCCTGGCTTACACTTCATTATACTCTCCTCTGCTAGTTGCATTTTTTTTTTCCAAACTTTTTATAGGTTGTCTTTCATGCACGTTATTACTTATCTCTCACCATATTATTCAGTATAATTGAAAACGTGAAGAGGTCTGTCATCTCTATATTCTGTTGCAAATATGAGAAGTATAGCAATAGATTTAGGTACCTCATTGCTAGAATTCTCCTCTCCCTTTCTTCAACAAAGTTAAGATTAATTTCGGAAAGACCAATCATTTTTTTACTTTATTATGAAAATTGCTACGTTACAGTCACTGTTCAAAACAGTTTTTAGACATAACGTTTCTTTCCATTTAAGTAGCAATACACAAGCCGTGATTACTATTTCAAAAATATGATTAGCATTATCTATGGTAGTTTGACATAACTTAAACCATTATAATATTCTATAATTGGTCCCCCCCTTTTTTGTGTCAGCCATGGTAAAGAACAGCACCTACAATACCCAAATTATCCATTAGTGGTATTCATATAAATAAGGTTAACCATAAACCACAGAAAAATGCACACACAACCCACCCCAAGGAAAATTATTTGTCCTTTACATATTCAAAAATGCAACAAGGTGGACTTCTTTCACCCTGACATATAAATAACCAAATAAGTTAGCAAGCAAAAGTCTCAGACATAATCCATTGTCAGCTTATTCAAGAGCACGTTCCGATTCTCCTATCACATGAGCTTCTATAGAAAGTTTGTCGTTAGACCTCAGAGTAATGGAACTAAACACAGTCAGATTGAACATTTAAATTCAGTGCCAAAATTTGAATTTGTCAGTGCCTCTTTATTCATTTCATTAACAGAAAGCATGGTGAATGCCTCTATATTTATAATTCTAGTAAACAGGGAAGTCCATAATAGTGTGATTACTTCTAAAACAGCACATTAATACTGCATTCAGCAACTGTTCCGAACAGATGCTTCAAAATCTTTACAGCCAAAACACACTATAGGATGCCCATTATAAATACTAACATGTCTCTATTCTTAAACCTAAAAACTTAATTCAGGAAGACTGAATGGTTCTGTGGTGCAACTCATTCTCTTTAAACATCTCTGCTGACAAACCAGGAATAACAAAAATAAACCTACTGCTTTAGAAGCCATGCGGTCCAGACTTTCACATGTACTCTATGTAGATGCCATGCCTTTTTGTACTATTGTTAATTTAAAAGGAGCAAGTGATCTGTTAGAATAGGAAGAGATCTCTTAGCAAGTACTCGACAAACCAAGCTTCTGTCTTCATCAACATTTCACATATTTCCAATCTTAAAATTGAAAGTTCAAAAATAACAACTGAGTATGTTGATCTGTAACAAGAGAACTGCAACAGTGTTCTCTATTTTAAGTGCAATTTCAGGGAAACGAAGTAGTTGTAGTGAAGTTCCACCCAAACAGCCAGGCCGTAAACGATGGTCTAGGTAAGTTTTTCATGTTGAATCTGGTAGTAGCATGCCTGAATTAAAACAAAGTTCATTTTAGCATATATTCTAGTTTTCAGCAAGCTGATAAAAGCATCATACACAAAAAGGTTTATTTGTTTTGTTGGATAGGAGAAAAAATGAGGACTAGGCCTTCTGGAAGAAGGTACAATACAGTAAAACTGTAAAACATTTTCTGATGCAGTAAACAAGCAAAATGAACAGGAGCTTTTAAGTTACAAATTATGTCCAACTCCTAATGAAGCAATACAGCATGATCTGGAACTCTATGTAATTTGGTTCCCGACTTTGCTAAGGTGAAGTTAATTTTCTGCTAACAACTCTCTTCACCCTTTGATAAAAGGACCCAAAAATGAAAGTGTACAATGAAATGTAGTTCTTACACTACAAGGACACACAGATTCATACATTTCAAAAACACACAGACTGAAAAGCAAAGCTTCTACCACCTAGATAAATGCCCTGACCTTAACTTTTACATCTGACCTGTTGCTAATAGCTAACCACTCCTTAATGCTGGATCAAATATGCATTTGGTCAGCCATGACAAGAAACTTCATATAATTGTTTCAGGTAACACCAAGTAAGATTGTTTCTACTAAATAAAGAGATTCTCAAAGTTTAATCAATTCAAACCATCCTTCTTGAAGCACTGTTACAGGGATGAAAACTCTGCACCAAACTTTATTTCCAGTTTGTACAAACAGAAAACAACAACATTCAGCTAGCAGCTCAGCTTGTGATTTTTCATTTTGCAGTTTAACAGCCTTCCCCTGAAACAACTCCACAGAAAAGCTCCACACGCCTGACTTGTCATGAAACTCACTTGTTTGAACAGTTTTCATGAACCAAAAGAGCTTACTTTCAACTACAGTGGTCCTAGCTGTACAATGGGTTACTACCAGAGAAGACTCTCCCCTTTTCCATACTTATAAAGAGAAGAATACAAATTAGAATGTAGAGAATTTAGATCATGTATTTTTTTCCATTTATCTTGCAAAATTGAATTCCTGTGGCATCCTGATGTGGTATTTGACTTAAATATCATCAGAATGGTTCATCTCCAAGGAATCACTTTATTCCTTTCATAAAAATTGGAATAAAGTTTAAGTCACAGGGGACAAACATGATACAAGTGAGCATGCAGAATAGTCAACAGCACCTTGTATGACATTTGAATAAAGTACATTTGCAAATTGCACCATTGTCCTCACAGTTTCTGTAATTGTTATCCTAAGCTTTATGTTAAATTTCGTTGTTCATCCTAATTAAAACAGTGACCAGAATATCAAAGTTAAAACCTAATGATCACAGAATTTTCCCAAACTGATCATTAGGAATTAAGCAACTTTAAGCAACCAAGAAAAAAATTAATAACCCTGAATAATTTCCATACCTTCAAGGTAGTGAACATGATGCCTTGTTCCCCATGCTGCAAGTAAGGATCCATCAAGTCTTCGATTAAGTGCACCTCAGATCCCAAATTCCTTATCCTTGTACATGGTGGGAAAGACACAAAAAACAAAAAGGTGAAGACTACACAACATTGGGCAAAAACTATGCTTTTTCCTAGCCTTATTCTGAGGTCACATCCATTTCAGTTTAACTCTCTAAAATTTATTCAGGCCAAAGCCAACAACCAAAACATAAAATGTACTAAGTTATAAAAAGATAATAATTAGGCCTATAATGAGAAGTAGGAGTATTTAATAGAAATGAGTACTCATACAGCCTATGCTCAGCTTATTGTCTGATACCACTGCTAGCACCTACCTGGCTCGTAGCACCACATAGAGAAAAACAGGAAATAAGTCATCCATGGACCACAGAAAATCTTCCTGAAGACTCTCAAGTACATTCTGAGATATCTCTTCAAAAGTCTGCTGGATCACCTTCAATTTGTCAGCTGGGGTAAACGTTGTACTGTTTGGAGAGCAAAAGCAAATCAGACTAACAATAAGAAGTTATATATCTGCATCTAAATTTGGAAGACAGTTTGCTAGCTAGCTATCCCCTGACCCAAGAAGATAACACAGATCAATCAAAGCACAGCAGCCACAACAGCTGCAAAGGCTGTATAATAGACCCCAGGCTATAATCACAGGCTCAAGGTTCACCACTGCAAGCAGGACTGTCCTCACAGGTTTAAGCTGGTTAAACATTGTTGAAGAGAAGAAAATATCAGTTTCTACTTCAATTCTTACAGCAGAATTCTGTCAGCTGACAGAAACGGAAACCTCCTGAAACATAGGTCATTTTGTCATAACTGTTCAAATATTAACACGCATTTTTAATTAGGTATCTTCTTGCTTTTGATTTTAAGTGGTGTCCTACAGACATTTCTCAAGTACTGGCATTTACACAGCTATACTGTGTTTCCATTGGGACAATTTGTAACACTTGTAGGAGGAACTCTGAAAGTTCTAGCTGACCTCTACTAGCAAGGTGAACAACAAAAAAAGTGACAGATAAAGAACTAGTTGAGTAGATCCACTATAGCAGAAACAGCAAATAACTGAAAGTAACTTCAGAGAATTACCTGATTTGCTGTAAACATTCAACTGCAGAGGCAAAGCAGGCATCCTTTGTGTTTGATGATACCTGTGTGACCGTGAGAAGATTGGTCATTCAGGGTTAGCAACCCACTCTTATGGGGAAAAAGCAGCATATCATGCAACACTGCCATTAAAGCCTTTTTCAGATTTAAAGTGCTATGAGAAGGGAACATGCCAGCAAGCTGAAGTCATCCAGGTTATCTGTCTACGTATTATTTGTACGAGTTTCATTTAACGTTCTGGGAATTCTGTACCCAACACTGAATATATTATGAGAATCAGAGACTTTTTGTGTATTTTCATGGCCAAGGAGAACTAAGAATCGGTGAATCTTAATCATTAACAATCAGGAGGAAACCTTAACAGGAGAATAGTTGAAATCTGGAAGTCATACCAGTCAATAATCACAGACCCAAAGGCTTAGAGCAAACATAAAAGTATAAACGTTAGCTCTTAGTAAGTAACTGAGCTAATGACTTTCTGAATGATTATTAAAATCACTCTTACTGGAGCACAGAGATTGAATAACATATTACTACTACTGTTTAATACCAGTGTTCAGCCACTGTCAAGGTAATGACTGAATAGAAATTATTCAATTCTCATGATCAGAAAGTGTATAATGGTACAACTCCTAAACACCTTGAAAACTTCCTTGACAGACATTTATTCTCATACTTTTTCTGCAATCAGTGTCCAAGCAAAACGGTTACAAGCATCTTCCTGAACTAGAATTTCTTTCAGAGTAAAACAGTAAGTAACAAAGCCAGACTGACAGCTATTGCAAGAAAATACTGATGTAGCTTTTAAGTAGCAAAAAAAAAAATATTAGGGATCAAGATAAAATATTATCTCTTCAGCAGAAGGGTTGGCTGAAAGTTCTTTGACCCGTTATTATCTCAGATTCTTTAACGAAGCACTAGGCAAAGCACACAATAAGCTAAGGCCCAATGAACGTACCTTTCTACTCTCACCAAGGATGGACACAGTTCCTGGCCAAAATTTCCTGCAAGAAACCCAACACAATCTTTTCAGAAATAAGAGCTTATTGGTC